TCACAAAAAACAAAAACAAACAAACCCGTTAACGGGCAGATGATACTGATGATGAGGAAGATACAATTACCAGACTATGCTATTCGGAAATGAAACATGGCCCCGATTCATAGTTGCAGAGTTTAGTGAGTGAGTGAGTGAGTTAAAATTTAAAGTCACATCGGCAATATTTCAGCCATATCGTGACTAAAACTAGTTCTAAATTCATAATACATACATATAATATATAAAACCCTGTCAACGAAGGACAGTAAAATTACTAGATTATGTGGAGTTAAAACTAGCTAGCATATATCTTTAAAAGTAGAAAAAATATTTTTGGACAATACAATGTAAAAATGGGCTATACATCGCCAACAACTGAAGGTAGATCACCATACTAGGGACCATGGGGACTTACAGTGCCTTTGTTACCTGCATGGACCCTATCTGGATTTACACCATCCCTTCAGCCATTGGCGTTTATGCTGAGATTTAGCCATACATTACAATGACAAAAATACTACGATTAAAAACCTGGTAGACTTAATTTACTTGAAATGTTTTGGGACTTACGTACCATCTCAGGAGGACAAACTTTTTAGGCTACGTCAACCCCCTTTGAAGGTACAGCCACTCACAAATTCAGTTTCTCATTTAAATCACCAATACTAAAAATGCATGTATGTACAAAACAGATGAATCAATATTCATTTCTATTTCTTTTCAAAATTCGATAATAAAATGATAATTGACATTAATCAAAAGATACTTAACAGTTTTCACTTTGAAATATTTATCCCTTATGATGGAAAAAGAGTCTAGTGAGAAAAAGTTCTAGTTCTCCTTTTCTGTTAGAAAAAGCAATTCAAGGTATTGCTGAAACTGTTAAAAATGTAACCTAATTAGATCTGGTTCAATTCTAATAGAAAGTGTCAAGAGAGAACAAGCAGCAAATCTCATGGAAACAAAATCCTTTGCAAACATTCCTGTAAAATATTATCCACACAAGTCTCTGAACTTCAGAAAGGGATTATCCGAGACAGAGATAGGAGTATAGCTGATCCCTCCACGGATGAAATCGTAAGTCAATTAAGAATGCAGGATGTAGTTGAGGCGAAGCGTTTCACATTCAAGAAAGACTGTGTCTATTCGCCTTCCAATACTTATCTACTTACACTTGATGTTCAAAGTTGCCACAATCTCCTAAGGTCGAATGCTTCTCTATGAAAATATTCCTAATCCTCTCAGACGCTTTCACTGCCAGAAATTCGGCCATGGACAAACCAAATGTAAAAATCATGCTGCTTGTTTTCGTTGCAGTGACAAAGATCACGATAGTGGTACATGTACGTCAGAACCCAAATGTGTGAACTGTTGCAGTATTCGGATGCCTGAGTGCAGTATTCTATTGCTTGTGTGCAGTAGTCTGTTGCTTGCGTGCAGTATTCAGATGCCTGTGTGCAGTATTCGGTTGCTTGTGTGCAGTATTCGGTTGCTTGCGTGCAGTATCCGGATGCTTGATGTATTCGGTTGTGTGCAGTATTCGGTTGCCTGTGTGCAGTATTCGGATGTCTGTGTGCAGTATTCGGATGTCTGTGTGCAGTATTCGGTTGCTTGTGTGCAGTATTCGGATGTCTGAGTGCAGTATTCGGTTGTTTGTGTGCTTTATTCGGTTGCTTGTGTGCAGTATTCGGTTGCTTGTGTGCAGTATTCGGTTGCTTGTGTGCAGTATTCGGTTGCTTGTGTGCAGTATTCGGATGCCTGTGTGCAGTATTCGGATGTCTGTGTGCAGTATTCGGTTGCTTGCGTGCAGTATTCGGTTGCCTGTGTGCAGTATTCGGATGCCTGTGTGCAGTATTCGGATGCCTGTGTGCAGTAATCGGATGCCTGTGTGCAGTCTTTGTATCCTTGTCTACGTGTTTGGTTCTCTGTGTCAGTATTCCGCTGATTCCAGCGTTACTGGACAAAACACATGATCGGTTCATGCTTTGCCGGCATTTGCTCACTGCACTATTGTTTGTGAATTATACTTCCTTGTAGGCGACAGAGTCCTGTATGCAGTCACTCCATTTACTTAGATAGGATATGTTGTTTACATGGCTGTTGGTGTGTTGGGGAGCTCTCTGGTGTCAGGGCAAAGGTAAGTTTGGTAATATGTTTTCAGTCTTGTCACGCGTATTTTCACGTACACGTCCACAGTCCATTTAGTCGCTTCTTACGACAAGCATGGGTTACTGAAGATCAATGTTCTAACACGGACCTTGACGGGTTCACTGTTTAATGTGTACATTTATATATATTTAATGTGTCGCAAGATCAATCACTAATCATTTTACAGATTCATGCTGAATAAAAGAGACAGATACACATGAAAAGTTCATATGTTGTACAAAATATGTTTTCACTCTTGTGACGTGAATGTCACGCGTGTTTTCCTTACCATGTGTTTATCTCATACAATGTAGTCATGAGCCATCAGCCGCCCCCAGGAACATATGTATTTCTAGGTGCCCTTAAGTAAAGCCACTTCTCCAGCGTTACAATTATATATCTCCGTAGGTATGAATACAGACAACTGTTTTATGTAAGTATGGCGTCATGAATGTGATAGTATACTGAGCTTCAGAAAACAATATTTGTCCCGGGTGGTTTCACATTTCATAATGGGGACAGTCCCTAGTATGGTGATCTCCTTTCAGTTGTTGGCGATCTCTAGCCACTTTTTTATATTGTATTGTCCAAAGAGTGCTATTTGTTTTAACTTTCTATGCTAGTTTTACTTCAAATTGTGATATTCTAGTTGTTTTACTGTCCTTCGTCGGCAGGTTTTTATAATATCTATACATATTCTATTTCCATGTCAAATGTTCTCGTCACGATATGGCTGCAATATTGCCGATGTGACGTTAAATAGTAACTCACTCACTCACTCATAATGGGGACATTACTGACTAAATCTAGATATGATTGATTATTTATTCATTTGGAAACACAGAACAGCCTAATCAGCTGCTGAAGTGGGTTTGTAGAAACTTCCCAGATACACATTATCGATGAACGACGCAATTGGTGGGAGGCTCAAAGCCTGTGTAAAGTCAACGGAAGCAAGTTGTACACACCTGGCACTGACATCCCAGCATGGCTGTGGAAAAGTCTACAGATCCACACCTTCTACTGGATAGATGCCATGGACTACGCAGCCTGGCTACGGTCAGGTACAGTGAGAGCAGCATTATGTCTACTGGCCACACTTCATACTTTGAAAAATAGTTTAACCGTTTAAAGTCAATCATTAACTTTCCTGGTCAATTTCTTTCTTACTCTACTTTAAAAACATAATCGTTTCACATGGAATACAATACGTAGATATCGTTTTTTGAAATAAGTTACATGTGACATCTGTTCACCTAAAGCTGGGGTGAAGCTATTTGCCACATTGTTACCTTCAATTGTCAAATTACAGTAGATTATTTTAATACGTTAGTCCTGGCACATGGTAATGTGTCTTCATGTCAATTAGGAACAAAGGCAAAGGGTCTCTATTGAATGGAAAATGCTGAAGTACTTGATATTTCAAGAACTTTTCGTTACAAAAGGGCACACTAACAGTACGATGCTATACATTTTCATCAGAGACACTAACTTAACAGAAAGTCAACTTTAGCTGAACGGCTATGCTTTAACATGTATGGACACCGTATTCGGTATTATTTTTCAGTGGGCAGAGCAGCTGTGACATACCACGGGTACCGCAGTGCTTCGTCTTCAGTGTGTCACAGTGCATACAAGCAGTGGAATGGGCGCACACATTTATACCGGAGGCCATGTTCAGAAAACAGCAAGTTTATTTGTGAAGATGGTACTGTTCTTTGTTCACTTCCTCACTTCAGTCATCCTGTCGCTGAAACCAGACAAGCGCATGGTAGTTTGTGGTTGTGAAACCACTTGAACTAAGAATGCCATTTAGAAAATTGGTCAAATGTAACATATGTTATATTTGGGATTACACTTTATCAGTCAAGTACAGATTCGAACCCACACCCTCAGAGGCAGGCACCTAATCGCCACCACACAAAGTCGCCTAACCCACTCAGCCACCGGGCTGCACATAAAAATGGAAGTCGGACAACTGGTAGGCCAGACCATGGACTTTGTGTACCCCTCTGATAAAGTAATAGAATATGTACTTTACTAAGAAAGTGTAAACCCAAATATAACATATGTTACAGCTGAACTAATCTGTACCACATTTTAAATCGCAATTGAAAGAAGTTCATCTTTAGACCTTTAACAACTATTCTCATAAAGCTAACAAATGTAAACCAGGTCCGACAAGTAGAGCGCTTGTGTGACCAAGTCATCTTAGGCATCACATTCGCTGAGCAGAAAAAATCTCATGATGTGATACAAGATTCACCCTGATTTGTAGACCCGGTTTGCCAAATCCATTAACGTGCCCTTTGGTTGCATCCTAACATGGACGATCCCATCTTAAGCTGATACGCATTATATTTCTGAAATAGTGATAAGAGCAACCTAAAACTCACTCACCCAACGTCAAGCGACATGCCCTTTACGTATACCGATATACGAACTGCGTCATGTATTGAATATATTTAACTAGATATTCAATGTCCAGACATTAAATACAATTCTAGAAGGAACTGTTTTTCTAACAAATTAAAACATTCATACACTACCGGCCCGTGATATCGCAATGTGTTTATGGGCTGGATAACCTTTTAAAGTAACCACGAAGTACTTGTATTTTACATCAGAGGTCAATTTTGCTCTCTAAACAATGTTCGTGACATCCAAACATGTGTATAGTAAAGGTGGATGAAATTTGGTAGACTCCAGGTCATTGAGCAAGAAGTGCATGTCGCTTTCGCTTGAACGGAGCTTGAAGCATAGGACTTAATGTACTTCCCCTCAGTAAACCAATGATATTGACATTCTTACATTCATGTTGCTGGAAACATAAACCTTACTATTAAATATTTAACTTAATTTAGCACATGGTGCATGGAGGTATATAATGATATCAGGGCTTCATTTAAATGTTCTATGTCTCAAACACGTTTCAAGTTTTGGCCAGATATAAACTGTCTAGTATTGGTTAATCAATTGGAATAATTTCTTTTTTTTTAACAATATTGAAACTCTATCATGGCGTCCGAGTTTAGATGATGCCAAAAACCGACAATACACAATTTGTGAAACACTGCATATTATTTTATGCCTCATTATCAACATTTTGAAACATCAGTTTTTATAATTATGTTTTTCATTGAAAAGGGAAATTGTAAAACTGTCATACAATTATACAGTGATGAGTTAAATATTAATTGTTCATTGTGATCACTACAGTATACATACCTACGTCGTCGTCTCCTGAAGGGAGCTTCATTGGACTCGGTGTAGGATGCTTGCTGATTGTTCTGACAGTCCTCATTGTGGTCTATCTCCTGAGAAGGTACGATGTGAGTGAGTTTAGGTTTACGCCGCACTCAGCAATATTCCAGCTATGTGGCGGAGGTCTGTACATAAGCGAGTATGCTTAATTGGTCTGAAATTTGAGGGTTTCAACGCCATTAATGTATAGAGAAACTACACCTATTAGCATGTAAAAGATTTTTAAATTTATCGCAAGCAACACCAACTTGTATTGTTTATGGAGAATGCGGTAGATATCCGATATATATAAATTCACAAATCAGATGTTTAAAATATTGGTTCCAACTTCCTTGGAATGCACGAACAAAGAATCCCCAAACTAGCTTATAACATGCTTGTACATTTAGATGATAGGGGTAAGACAACATGGGCGTCTCATATTAGAAATCTTTTATTTTCTCATGGCTTTGGATTTGTGTGGCTAAATCAAACACTTGGTAATATTAATCTATTTCTTCAGCAATTTCGAGAACAATCTGTTAGCATGTATTATCAAGAATGGCATTCCTGTCTAGACAAGATATCAGTTGTATAGATCACATAAGAGCTTAATTGAACCAGAACTATAACTATCTGTATTGACGTTCTAGAAATATCACATTTGTCATTTTTCGATTGGGCTTGTTAGTCTTATCAGTAAGTAAAGGCAGACGATTTTCAACAGAGAGAAGTTTAAGGATATGTCCATTATGTAACTTGGCTATAGAAGATGAAATTCACTTCGCTTTTGTATGCCCACATTATGCTGATTTAAGAAACAAATATATCCCAAATAATTACCTGTTAAAATATCATTCAACTGCCTTTGTTTCCATTCTATCATCCAAAAATGAAAATGTAATACATAATCTAGCGCTTTTTGTAAAACATGCTGCTATCCTTAGAACCAATATCTTATCTGAACTGTAATTTCCTTTGTGAAATGTCTGTAACATGTGCTGTATATATACATATATTAGTTGTATATGGGCCGAAGGCCTTAAGTACAATAAATATCTTTGACTTTAACCAGACAATCCAGTGATCAAAAGCATGATCATAGATCTCCGCAATTGGGATACAATGACATGTGTCAACCAAGTCAGGGAGCCTGACCACCCGATTTCGTTAGTCGCCTCTTACGACAAGCATGGGTTACTGAGGATCAATTCTAACCCCGTTCTTCACGGGTCGTAAAATATCGAGAACGAAAAAAGACCTGAAGGGAAGCTTTTTAGACTAAAAGCAATCCAAACTGCATTCATTTTAAAGTGCTTGCATGGCATCTTTGGTTCCCCTCAAATGGCTCAACTTTGTTAGTAAAGGAAACAAGAATGCCAATTGCATTTCTTCCATACTTAACTACATGTTGACACATCGGGATTCAGGCAAAAGAAATTGTGTTTTGAAGGAGGAGATGGGAATCGACCAAAACACATTGCTTCAGCCACAGATAACACAATCCATGGTTTAGCCGCCCACGCACAAAACGAAAGTGAAGCATATGCTGTCATAACAATTCCTGACGCAACAGATGGAACACCGGAGTCATCCACGGTTCTAACGGCGATAGCCCGACCCAGTGTTCACAGTGACATCATCTGCATCAACAACGCTCAGATTAATGATGAGAACGAATACAACGTGTTGTCAACATCCAACAACTCCAAGATTCCCGTTCGACATGAAAATCCTTACAACCATCTATCAGGACCTGACGGAAGAAACATGTACAAGGGAGATTACGACACAGCTAACTTTGTTCCACAGACAGAAGAAGTGACCACGGGGCTGCAGAACACTGTCACACATCCACAACTGTCGGACGAATCGAGTGGTCAGGTCTTGGAGGAAGACCAGTACAATGTGCTCGGTCAGCACGACTCTCCCAGAACAGTCGATGCTGTTGCTGGGTTGTATGACCTCGTGGCTACGGATGAGGGGGGACTATGACACTGCACAGTGGGGAAAGAATGCCAGCAAGGTTGATGATTCTTTCAGTCATATACAGAGGACAACTAAACCATGTAAAGAACATACGTATGATGTCGCAAGTGAAAGGCAGCCGGAACGATGTGCCGACGACACCTACAACGATGACGTTAAGGTTGAAGACGGTAGAAACGACACAACCGACTACTACAACACAAGGAGTGTTCTTCGAGACAATGGGAATGTTGAAGGACATGTGGAAGGTGCATCTGATAGAAGGGATCAAGAGAACGTCTATAGTCTTGCCAATGACATTTCTAATGCATGAATATAGGGCGTATATATATTGTTGCAGGATGTATACTTGTTTACTAAGAGTCAGTTCAGCCTAATTGTCTGGTGTCATCTCATCGTACAACCTGTTATGTGTAATTATGTTCCTGTTTCTTTCTGATATTTTTGTTCCTGGTTCTGCATTATGTTCTGATATTTGTTCATCCGTCATGGGATTTGAGTGAGTGAGTATGGTTTTACGCCGCTTTTAGCAGTATTCAAGCAATACCACGGCGGGGGACACCAAAAATGGGCCTCTCACATTGCACCCATGCAGAGAATTGAACCCAGGTCTTCGGCGTGACGAGCGAACGTTTTAACCATTAGGCTACCCCATCGCCCCTATGAGATTTGAGAATTAATTGATGATTTAATATGGATACACATTACATCAATTATCTTCTTTACATTTCTATTTACATTTCATTACATTCAATATATTTTATATTTGTGCATAAATAAACGTATGCTTGGTCTCAGTTTATTACATTGACAACATTCAAGGTTCACCATTTGTAAACTTATATACTAGTATTTGATTGATTTTAATATATTCTCTTCCTAACACTTGCAGGGCAAGATTCGTTTCTACATTTCGTTATATTCAATATATTACATTTTCCAAGTGTACATATAGAAGTCTTTATAAAAGGTAATAATCCCATGCTTTTGTAATGTACAGGGTAATCGATAATAATTACCCTATATAGATATCTTTACTACTTATGACGTATTTTGGGTATACTAATTCCCGCGGTATTAGTTACACTGTCCATGTAGTGTTGTTCCGTGCCAGTGCACTGCAACATATAGTTCACCGTGATCTTTAGATTACGAGAGCTCATACCGTTGGAATTAGTATGTAAAACAGATCCAAGCCTTCTCTTCACCTCGTTCCATCAGTCTACCTGATGTGGCGTAATGTATGTAGCGACTTTGGTGTTGACTTGTGCTGCCTCAGGTAAGCTACTTCTCGACATGGGCGCCGCCATGTTGTGACGTCATAGCGAGGTGTTTTAGAGTGAGTGAGTGAGTGAGTTAATATTTAACGTCACATCGGCAATATTTCAGCCATATCGTGACGAGAACATTTGATATTGAAATGAAATATATGTATATTATAAAAACCTGCCGACGGAGGACAGTAAAACAACTAGAATATCACAGATATGTATGTAAAACTAGTAATTAAATCTAAAACGTTATAACTATAGGGGAAAACAATACAGTATAAATATGGACTATAAATCGCCAATAACTGAAGGTAGATCACCAGACCAGGGACCATGGGGACTTACATTACTTTTGCTACCTGCATGGACCCTAGTTGGATTTACACCATCCCTTCAGCCATTGGCGACAGAAGAGAAATCTAGCCATAAATTAAAAGCACACATATTCTACGATTAAAACCTGGTACACTTAAATTGACTAAATGTTTTGGGACTTACGTACCCTCTCAGGAGGACAATAATTTTACAATACTTCAACCCCCTTTGAGGGTACAGCCACTAACAATCTCAGTTACTAATTTAAATTACCAATAATAAAATATTTATCTATTTACAAATCAGTTAACAAATCTAATTCTTTTAAAAATGCAATAATTAAATGAGAACTAACATTATTAAAAGATCCTTCATAGTCTTTACTTTGAAATAGTTATCCCTTGTGATGGAATATTCGATGCAGTCAAGCAAGACATGCTTGACTGTGATTCTTTCATCACAAGGGATGCAAAACGGAGGATCTTCGCCTTTAAGCAAATATTCATGGGTATACCTTGTATGGCCAATGCGACATCGCCGCATAATGACCTCTTCAAATCTGGACTGACAACCCAAGTAAGTGTAACCGATATAGGGTTTTATTGCATGTAATTTATTGATACCTACTTGGGTGTCCCATTCTTTTGCATCAGATCACGGATGTAAGATCTAATGCAAGCTTTGTAATCAGAGTATGGGAGCAGAAGTGGTGTCACAGATTTGTTGAGTGCTGCCTTAGCAGCAATATCAGCCATCGTGTTCCCAGAAATGCCAACGTGGCTGGGTAACCAACAAAGACGATGTCGCATTGGCCAGTAGCAAGCTCATTATACAATTCAATAATTTCTAATAAAAGTGGATGTTTGCAAGAAAGATTTTTAATAGCCTGAAGACACGAAAGAGAATCTGAAAAGATGATATATTGTTTATATTTACGGTGTTTATTAATATATTTAAGAGCTGTTAGTATTGCGTTTGCTTCTGCTGTGAAAATTGAACTGTCATTGGGTAATCTGGAAGAGATTGTTTTGGACCCAATGACAGTGGCACAAGCAACCGCGCCACCATCCTTGGATCCATCTGTATATAAGGATTTATAGGTATTATATTTATTTCTTAATTGACTAAATTCTTGTTTATATTGTAAATCATTAGTTTCGGATTTTTTAAATGTGGTTAATGTTAAGTCAACGTCTGGCCTCACCAATTGCCAAGGAGGAGAAGAAAAAAGATGAGAAGGAGATATATTCTCCAGCTCAATGCCGGCAGCAGAAAGGAATGGTTTAATTCTGTGCCTAAGAGGCGGAACAAGAGAAGGCTTTTTGTTATACAAATCCTCATAAAAAGGAGTGAAGATGCAGTGAAACGCAGGATTAGACTCGTTAGAATATAGCTTCGTAATATACTGTAATGATAATTTTATACGGCGTTGGGTAAGAGAAGGCTCATCGGCCTCGACGTAGAGACTGTCAACAGGAGATGTTCTGAAGGACCCAAGACAAAGTCTCAGACCTTGATGGTGGACTGAATCTAAGAGTTTTAGGTTGCTTTTGCAGGCTCCACCATAAACGATGGAGCCATAATCAAGCTTCGAGCGGACAAGTGATCTGTAAAGGTGTAGGAGCGTAGCTTGATCCCCTCCCCACCTTGAATTAGACACGACTTTCAATAAATCAAGTGCCTTCAGGCATTTAGTTTTGAGAGATTTGATATGCGGAAGAAAAGTTAAATGGGAGTCGAAAATGAGACCTAAGAACTTGGCCTCTTTTACAACCTTGATGGAAGTGCCATTCAAAAACAGTTCTGGGTCTTTATGTGGTTTATATTTATGGCAGAAGTGTATGCAATTAGTTTTTGATTTAGAAAATTTAAAGCCGTTTTCAAGACACCATTTATGTATTTTATTTAAACACAACTGTAGTTGCCGTTCAATAGTATGCATATTCTTACCGCGACAAGAAATGTTAAAATCATCCACAAAAAGTGATCCATCAATTGAATCGTTTAAAACCTTGGATAAGCTATTAATCTTAATGCTAAATAAAGTGACAGACAAAATACTTCCTTGTGGGACACCCTGATCCTGATTATAATGGTCAGACAGGGTTGAACCCACTCGGACCTGAAATTGCCTGTTGTGTAAAAACTGTGATATAAAAAGAGGTAAACGACCCCTTAAACCAAAATCATGTAAATCCTTTAAAATGCCATGCTTCCAGGTGGTATCGTACGCTTTCTCGAGATCACAGAATATCGATACTGCATGTTGTTTATTGACTATTGCATTTTTGACAAAGGATTCTAATCGTACCAAATGATCAATGGTACTACGATTTTTCCTGAAACCACATTGAATATTTGTTATAAGGTTGTTGGTTTCAAGATACCAGGTTAATCTATTGTTTACCATTCGTTCCATGGTTTTACAGACGCAACTCGTTAAAGAGATTGGTCTGTAATTTGATGGATCAGTATGATCCCGGCCAGGTTTTGGAATAGGGACAACAATGGCATTACGCCACGAAGGTGGGAAATTCCCTGAAGTCCATATTGTGTCAAAAATATTCAAAAGTGTTTCCAAACATGATTCAGGTAAATGTTGCAAGAGCTGATAGTGTATATTATCAGCTCCTGTTGCTGTATCATGAGCTTGCTCAAGGGCGGTATGTAGCTCATGTAGTGAAAACAATTCGTTATAGTCTTCACCATTATCTGATTTAAAGTTAATTCTTTTCTTCTCCTGTTGTTTCTGGTGTTTCTGAAATTCAGGAACATAATTCGATGAAGATGAATGTTTGGCGAGAGTTTCGCCAAGCTTGTTCGCAATATCGGATTTATTAGTTAATATATTGTCACCATCCTTCAGATGGTGAACAGTAGATTTGGAACCTTTGCCCTTAATTCTTTGGATCATGTTCCACACCTTTGAAATCGGTGTGCGTGAATTTATCTTAGAAACATATTTCCTCCAAGACTGACGCTTATTCTGTTTAAATGTACGTCGAGCCTTGGCATTTAAAATTTTGACTTTATTTAAGTTATGAACAGTAGGATGTCGCCGAAAATATTTTTCAGCTTTCTTCCTGTTCTTTCTGGCCTGTTTACATTCATTATCAAACCATGGCTTACGAACATGTGGAACTGCAGAGGACTTTGGTACAGTTTGGTCAGCAATGTCATTGAGCATATCTGAAAACAACTGTATGGGATCTTCACTGTTCGCAAATGCATCATGTTGTAAGTTGTCAGTACACAGTGTCCCATATAATGACCAATCAGCCCTGGCAAAGTTCCTTCTTGATAAAGGTGGATCATCACCAGGGTTGATTGTTTTGAGAATAGTGGGAAAGTGGTCACTCCCACATAGGTCATCATGGACCATCCACTCAAATTCATTATATAAATTGGGGTCAGCAAGTGAGAGATCCAGGGAAGAATATGTTCCCGTAGCTGGATGTAGATACGTGGCTGAATCGGTATTGAAAATACATAAATTATTATCAGAAATGAATTCCTCGATGACTTTACCTTTATTATTTGTGTTGGCACTTCCCCAAAGCGGGTTGTGTCCGTTGAGGTCACCCATGATGAGACATGGCTTTGGAAGTTGATCATATAGATTGTGAAGGTCCGATTGACGAATGTCAGAAGAAGGAGGGATATATAAGCTGCACAGAGTCAAGGCAAAATGCAGCGTCAGACGAACAGCTACAGTTTGCAGATTTGTGTTGAGTGATACATGGCTATGTATGATGCCCTGCCGAACTAAAATAGAAGCACCTCCAGTTGCTCTATCTCCCACAGGAGAAAAGGAATGATAATCGGTGTATTGTCTTAAGTTAAAGGTGTCTGTGTTTTTTAAATAAGTCTCTTGAAGACAAAATGCTGACGGTTGAAGATCTTGAATTAGTAATTGGATTTCACTGAAGTTATTC